ATGCGTTGGGAGGCTCGGTTTCCAAAAACGAGTCGCCGAACAATGTAAAACTTTCCGTCAACCACAACTATTTGTTGGAGTTGCCATAAAGGATGGGCAGGGAGGTTCAAGAAAGCTGAGGCGATATCAGACTTCCACACGACAAGTCTTTGCCCACGATGCTGACGTCGAGCATTAAACAAGATCTGTCCAAAGGTGCGCATGTCGTCATAGTGCACTTTTGCTTCGGTTCTTGGGATACCGTCGTTCAGACCTGAAGCTGAATGGTCAGTGATGACACGGGGTTTTTCCTTCTGCCATGCCACAAACATGGGCGACGACATCATCCCCGGAAGAAGATCTGTGATTGGTAGTGGGTCTGACCACCTCTCCGCAGCGAGTTCTTTGTCGCGAAAGGCTCGAATGGCATCAAGGTCTTCAACCTCAGATGCAAAGTTGGACAAGGGTTCGGTAGCATCCTTATCCCAGTCCCCATCCTCAAATGGCCAGAAACCTTCACGAAGGCCACGGATAACTGAGTCGACAAAAGGACGATTGGGGTGATCGGATAGAAGAGATTCAAGGCGATCAACGTTGAATGGGGTGTCAACCTTGACAAAGCCTTGCATTGCAGAAAGAGAAGAGATGAGTGCAGGGTCATCAATGAGATGAGAAGGTGGAGATGGCAAAGGAGGAGCAGATAAGGTTAAAAGAGCGGCCGGAGATTCACAGAGAGAAGCAGAGTTGGACCAGACAAATCCGCGGCGATAGCGAGGTGGTACATCCAGGGGCGCTGCTGCCGGACGCTTGAGATTCACATCTGTCTTGACAAACTGCTTAGGCCCCACTGCCGCTAGGTCCGCTGCCCTCTGCGCTGCCAGAGCGAGCTCCTTTTCCTCTGCGAGTTTGGAAAGCAGCATAGCACGCCGCGACGTCTCTTGCTCGGTGCTGACCACCACACTCACTACAGAGACCATGCCTCCGACTGTTCTTGCACGGTTCACTGCAGATACCCAAGTTCCAATTATAGCAAGGAACTGTTGGATGTTTTGGTGGAAGCCGGCCATCCAGAGACGAATCAGACTGCCTCTTCGTCCCACGGAAAACCTGACCCAGGATCGACACAAATGATTGGGCCTTGTCATCCAGCCGATAAGGACTCTTCGCATAACGTTGACGGCTTTCGAGGTCGAAGCGTATGCCATTTGAAGGATCATTCGGGCAGGCGTGAAAAACATCAGAGACCAGGCGGGAATAGGCTTGGAGCTCTTTCAGTCGATGAGGATAGAGGAGGATGGTTCCTTCGCACCAGGCAGCGAAAACTCGAATCCCATCGGCTTCAGTCCGAAGGGTCTTTTTAGCGGTTGCGAGCTCCTTCTTGACAAGAGCGAAACCACCCCCAAAATCCTTCGGATCATCATTGTGATTGTAGTTCGGATCCATCAAGGCGAACAACTTCTCGAAATCAACATATTGGTCCTGTACAAGCAATCTCCAGATGGAGCGAGGGAGTGGTTGATCAACAGGCTGGGCTTGAAGATGGTCGACGATGCTGTCGATGGTCTCTTTTCCAGCGAAAAGGAGTCGGAGTCTCCATGTTTCGTCCAGGTGAGGGTCCTTGATAGCGTTGGATGATAGGTTCCATAGGTGCGGAGCACCATCCAAAACCGTCGAGGGGATTGACCGAGATGTAGATGCACTGGATCTGTCAAAGATTTTGAGGAGCTCCGAGAAGGATCCTTTCCCAGCTGAAGAATCGGGCCTCGCCGCCACGGTAGCAAGTTTCGCCAAAACAAGCTGCCACTCAGCAGCGTCGACAGCGCGGCGGCGTCGGGCAGCTTCCTCTTCATCGCCCTGGGGCTGCTCTCCGAGGAGGGAATCACGCTTCCGTCGGAACTCAGCAGCTTCGTCCTCATTGAGACCCTCAGGGGTACCCTCACGTTCCCCCTCAATCTGTTGAGATCCCGGACCTTCGACGCTACCATGTCGGGCTTTGAACAGCTGAATGAACTGTTTCCCGAAATCCTCAGCCTCCTTATGTGTTGCTCCAGCACCCTTAAGGCGCTCGAGAACATCAGCGACGGTGCTCTTCGCCTCGACGGCATCCTCGACGACTTTTTCGAGGCGCTCGATGCGAGCTCGCACGTCCTCGATAGCTTGCTCACGATCAATTGA